GGTTGCGGCTTACCTGGCTTATCATCCAAAACTCGTCCATGGTGGGCTGAGGACAGCCCCCCAACCAAGCAGTTCATACACTTTTTCCCGGTTCCTACGCTTGTTTCAAGTCACCCTGGCCTTGTGCTTCCCGCAGCCATTGCTCTAAGCTTCGCCAGGGCAAACGCCAGCAAAAGCGCAGGTCCCAGCACTGGCAGCGCGGCGCGGCACGCCTGGCTGCGGCACGCCGCGAGCTGTGCTTTCGAAAGTGCCAAAAGTAATAGCCTCCAAAAGTAATAGCTTCCGGGGGGGTCCTTTCGGATGTCGCATGGAATGGCTTGATGCTTGGAGCACCTGCGTTCTCGTGTTCCAAGCTGATCAATCCATGTCATCATCGAGCGGAAGTGGCACAAAACAACAACCGATGTGCAGGGACTTCGTAAGAAACCTTGGATTCAGGAGGTATCAAAAGCCTGCCAAAGGCATGAAGATGGTCAAACATCTACAACCACAGCAAGAGAAGTAATCCCTAAAGTGTCTCTAACTCCTAGCCACCTCATGCCACCTCGCCCAAACTAGAGCTCCGAAGGAAAGCAAACACAGGAACAAAAACATGTCGTTCATCCAGCTCTGCCCCATCACCCCACCGCCATCGACACGCACGGTTTCGTACTGGACCGCTCGAGGAGGCCTGAGTTCCAGGAGGCCTTCGGCCGTGATGCTCACGCCATGGAGGTCCAGGAGCCGCAAGTTCGGCAGCCCCTGATGGTCCATTTATATATGGTCAGGTTTTAATGGAGATCAGGAGTCCTGTAGGACTTTATATGATTCGATTAACCTATAACACCTACGTTTTTAATGGAGATCTATCGACCTGACCTGATGGTCTATTTGAAAACTCTCGATTAACCTTGGCATACCTTGTACCTCCGTGAGTGGCATGGGGGTTCCAGCAGCTGCCAACAGGTCCACTGTTCAATGCAAGTGGCATGGTGTTCGTTTTTGGAACTTTCCTCCAGAACTTTTGGGCACCTTCCTCCACACCCCATCCTCGAAAGCAATTGAGCATGACTGATCCTTTCTTCGCCTTCAGCAGCAACGTGAGTTGATGCCAGGAGTCGTCCTTGACCCCAGGACACCTCGAGTTTATTCGCCACTGCACAGATTCGGCGGGTTGCAAGTCTTGTGGCTTAATGTTCCAGATGAGAAGGAATGTCGTTCCTCAACTTGTCAAGCTGCTTTGTTGCATGTTGTGGCTACTCACACTGCATCACGGCCTAAAAACTCATCCTTCATCGTGGTGACCCTCCTTTAAGTCCTTGTTCCCAAGCACGGATCATGACCTTCTTCCGCGCCCGCTTCAAATATTACATCATTGTTTGCAGATCCCTTCACAGCAGGGCCCATCGGCATCCAAGCAGCTCAGGCGCCACGCGCAGCTCCGTGCAACGCTCCATGGCCAGCTGCAGCAGAGCACGGCTCGCGGTCCGCAGCGCGCCGCTGAGGCGGTCGTGCTGGGCCGCGGTCAAGGCGGCAGCCAGGAGGTCGTCCATGGCAGATGTGATGTGAAGCGCCATCATGGCAGATGGATGGGAACCATACTACTAGGAGCAAGAAGCTACTAGGTGGAGGCCATCGCTATGAAGTTGGAGGCCATTGCTACTAGGAGCAAGAAGCTATTAGTAACAAAGGATGATGGTCAAGATCTTCAGAAAGCTGGGAGCTGTTTGAGGTGGAGTCACGCGGGAGGAGATGTTGAGGAGACTTTGGGGGCTCGGGGGAGCGTTTCTTCGAATGATTGGTCTTTTGAGAGGGGTCTGGATATCTCTTGCATGGTGCTGTGTGGTATCGCATCGTGCTTTTGTTGACCCCCCTCTCTTTGTGTCATAATTATAAAAGCTGTCAGCCACAGGCAACAGATGTCGACATGACAAATCCGTGGGCTACAAGTATACTTTCTCTCCAAAGAGAGTTCTTCAGCTCAATCGCTGGTATCGTTCTGTGCTGGGGGTGGGATACGACGGGGAGATCTCGTCCTGTCGGAAGTGGCGCTTGCGAGCGGTCGGGAAGCGGCCAACGGTGCGTCGGGACCGCTCCGTGTGTTTTTCAAAAACGCGAGATTCCTGCCCGTTCTGCCGGTGAACAGCTTGAGATGAGAAGTATATGAGTTTTGCAGACTCATTCTTATCAGAGCCGTTAAGGTTACCTTCTGGGTATGGTTGGTGTTCCCAGGAACTGAGCCCATTCAAGAGGCTCTGAAATCAGACTCCATGATGTTCATGAAGTGGATATCAGTGTGAAGAGGCGCCGGGTCCTTTTTCTCATTCTCCTCTTCTTCCTCCTCCTTCTCAGTCTCGCTTTCAGCATTCTCATCCTGCAGCTAAATCAAGAACACCCCAGAGCAATATCTTTTGTCTTGTCCCTGAAACGCACCAAATGTGGGTTGAACAAGTGACACAACAAGTGACATCGGTTGAACAGCTTGCTCATGGCATTTCGGATGGTTTCGGTCTCGATCTTCGCTCCGTAAACCCAGCCGCCTTGAGCACAACCGGGTCACCAGGTGGCGCCTCAGAGGCTTCTGCAAGGGCCCACGGCAGAGAAAAGTCTTGACTTTGAGGCTCCAAAGAAGTAGACATGTCATGGGCAACATTGTCCTGCAATTTCCACCAAAATCTTCCAATCCGTGAGGGCACTAGATTGAGAATCCAACAACCTACCAACAACAACCTACCAACAACCTACCCTTCACCCCCGCCCTGCAGTTGCTGCAAACTGTATGCTGCTCCAAGTATGCCTTGGTAGCGCTTGCATCGGCCTTTAGCGCAAAACACCGCCCTAGGCCTCCACACAGGGGTTCCCTCCGACTCGAAGATCTCAGGTCTCGAGGGGGGCTGCTTGGGCGCCTGCTTTCCTGCGGGTTTACGGATCAATCCGGATCCGTGAGACTGAGACTTCATTGGGGGGTTGCAAATCAACCACCGTTACCGGTGCAAAGTCTGACAACTCCCCCCCCAAAAAAAGGACTCGATCAGGCTTCAAAGCGGTCAGGTGAAATGAACGGGTTTAAAGGATGGGATTCTCTCACTTGTCAAGCTCAAGTGGACGCAAAAGCTGAGGGAAAAGCACTGATAGCAGTTATTGATGTAATACCATGGATCTACCCAGGCTGAGTTATGAGTTTGGTAGAGGGATCAACTAAAAATCCATGCCCTAAAAGTGATGTTCTAAAAACATCTAAAAACCTGTATCTTTTAAGGAACCCTGTGCATGCGGATGAAGAGCTGAGATGTACACGAGTGAAGAGCTGAGTCGTTCGTTCGTGACCGAGCGAGTGAGCCACGTCACCTGCGACCTGAAACAGTGAGAAAGTTAGTTGGTGAAACAGTGAGTTGGTGAGTCAGCGCAAGTGAGGGAGCGGAAATGAGTGAGTGCTAAATGAGTTCTGAGGAGACGAGACCAGGATGCAGAGTAAAAGTGAGAAGCCCACACAAGAAAAAAGCAGAACGGCCAACTGTGTCATCTGTGCTCGTCATCGTCAGAGCACCGCCCTCCGCCGCCCTCCGCCCTGCCTAGGTGGACGGAAAACCAGGCTCGGCTACTGTCACCATTGGGGTCGCCGCGCCTGAAAAGAAGTCGCCCGGGTCTCCGACGAAAACGAACGTGACGAAGACGAACGTTCGCGAGACGAACGTGGCGGGAGAGTCGGGTCTAGTCTTGGGGGAGGTGCAAGGAGTGCGAGACGGCGCTAGTCGGAGGTGTTTTTTTCCCCTACCACAAGGATCGGGTTTTCCTCGTTGGAGCATGGAACCCATGTATCGCATACTGCATCGCCGGGGTTTTAGAGGGGATGCACTGCATTCATCTTGTGAATTGAGGGCTGCTATGGACATCATTTAACAGGTTCCCCAACGACTAGAGTAGGAGATAGTGAGAGTTTCCCTATGATGATGCAATTGCACATCTTGGATCTTTGATTCCATAGCATTGTGCCTGTCTTCAACTATATACCCGGAGCCAACGTAGCCAACACGGGATGCACATCTGCCTCAGGCGCATGGGCAAGACCACGATGGAGCCGTCCTGGCAGTGGGACGGCCACTGCGTCTGGCAGCGGAGAGGTGCGACGTGGCGATGCAGCGCAGCAACATATCGTCGAAAACAACCCGAAGCCTGAAGCCAGCAGCATGTACAGGGGCAGGAGAGGTGGACAAGCGTGAGAAAACCCTTAGTCATTCTTATGCTGTTCATTTCTTTTCTAATCTTTTCTACATGAATTCCATAACTGCTCAAAGACTTCATTCGCGCAACTCACATTCTCAAACCATTCCCTTCTTCGCACAACGACGGGACAAGGTCCTCCACTGGTATCACTTCACCCTTGGCAATCCTTTTGAGGATCCCCCTGGCACGAAACCGCATCGCTTGGACGGATGAAGCCCGAAGCGAACTCTTCCCGGTGAAGCCGTCGCCGTTTCAGAGCTAAAGCTGATATGTGTGTCAAGCGAACACCATGCAACACCAAGCACCTGAACGCAACCCAAACGGATCTTGCTCCAGGGCTTGGTCTTTCAGTCGACTAAATATGGCAATGAGGAGGAGTGCAAGCTGCAGCAAGCTGCCGCTACGCAGCTGCTATGCTGAAAACGTGCGTCTGCTGTTCTAGTTGTTCGTCTACCACTGTTCGGGTCAAAGGAACGGACTGTTCGGACTGTTCTATGCCAGACACGTGAGTCGTAGCCAGTCCCGCGGTCTGGATCAAAGAGATAAACACTCAAAATGACCTCTCTCAGGACATCTCGAAACCTTGAAAAGGACGCTAAAAAACGGTGGAGGCCATCGAGGCCATTACTAACAAGAAGCTACGAACGTAACATCTAGTTAACAAAAGGTTCCCATTCTTTTGGGCGATCTTTCACCCTCACCGCCCTCGGACCGCCCTGAACCATCGACGCTACGCCGTTTGTGCTTTGGGCGCGCCCGGGCGGCGCCAAGCCGGTGCCGTTGGAGGAGAGATCACGGAGTCCCAGGCGCGGCTTGGCCTGCACGGCTTCGGTGCTTCCGAAAAACGAAAAAAAAAGGGGGTCGTGGCAGGGAGCAGAACAGAACATGAAAAAAAGTGGTATATCCTGGTCCTCTCATTCTTATAGATGTGTCAATTAGTGCAAGTTAACGCGTTTGAGTTACTGACCCATGTTGCAGTGACTAACCCAAAATACCTTGGCAGTAGCTCCTCCTTGTGGTCCGACCAATGGTCCGGCGAGGACCATCAACTCCCTTAAGGGTCGGAACCAAAACTGCCATCGATGCTAACAATGGGTCAGTCACTTCATGGTCACCAGGGGTCTTTCATTCCTTTCTCGCAATGAAGTCCACTCTTTGACCAAAAATGACATGGTTCACTTTCGTTCACGAACTCGACGGAGAACTTCGTCCGCGAACCTTCATCCTCGGGATTCGAGCGTAATCCCTCCGTATAAGTCGTTGTGGGTTCGGAGGTCCTGCCACTCAGAAAGTCCTCCGGATGTGCGGATTTGACATGGATTGGAGACATGAATCTTGACACGGATCCTCGACTCCATCACTCTCATCGTGACCTTTTTGGAGACCAGCTTTGGATTTCCAAGTCAATGGCGTTCTCAAGTACTTTTGCTGCATCTTCTGGTGTTCCGGGAGTGCGTTTAACGCACTCCCGCTGCACACTCCCCAACAGGTCGCCCAGTGAAGGAGCGGGCGATTCCGCCATCATTCGAAGTCGATGGTCAACTCTTGAAGCTCTGTGTCTGCCATCTGGTCCTCCGCCTGGCAGCAAAACCAAAAGAACTTCCCTGGCTCGTAGGATGGGGAGCTCGAGCACTTGGGCAGTGCCAGTGGCGATTGAAAGGCTGTCGTGAGCATCAAGACCAACAACAAGGTATAGACCACACCTTCCAACTCGGGGAAGTATGAGCCATACCAAGCTGAGTGGACTTGGAGAGCCACACCAAGAATGACCGAAGTCAAGATCACCACTCTGCTCACCAGATGAGAGCAGCAGTCAAAACGAATAAAGGGCTTTCGGATCATGTATCCCAAGCAGATTTGAGCACGTTGCTGTCGAAAGCTCAAGACACTCTCCTCCTTCAGTCGTGAATACTGTTCACCGATCACTCCGATAAAGATATTCAAGACAATCACCGTGAAGACCGCCACCGCGAGGACCAAAAGGATGCATTCTAAGGGATCCTCTTCAGGGCGAGTTGTGTTGTGGCAGGTTGGGGTGACCAGGTGACACCTTCCAAAGGCAACACTTTTCGGTGTACTCAGACGATCTTCAAAGGAATCGAACATATTCTTGAACCCTCTTGGAGTCTATCCCTGTTCCTCTTTGGGTTGTCCCGGCATCCCTGCAGTGATCAGCATGACAAAGCTACTGTAGAGCGACAGGTCTATGTCGCCACCTTGGAGGGAGAAGAAGGCATGGCTGTAGGCGCCAAAGGCGATGTATGCCTCACCCGGCCGAAGCGTTCGTCGCCACCCACGGCGGGCCGTGACCGAACGATCGATGGGTCGTTTCGAGGCTTCTGGGCATGTCCGAGATGCGATGTAGAGCACTGGACCAAGGCCCCAGAAGAGCCTGGTGAAGGGTACCAACTCGCGGCCAATGGGCGCACAGCAGCCGGCGACACGCGTCAAGCGCAGCCAGGAGATGAGAATGGTCAGCACCAAGACAAGGCGGCATCTGGCATTGGAGACTACTAGGGTGAGTAGGGTGGAGGATCGCTAGAAATACATAAACCGAACCGATTCCTTCAGGTTTGACCGATTCCTTTTTCCGCTTCTTCAGTTCTGACCGGCGCCTGGGGTTGATCCAAAAGTACGTCAGCACCAAGGCACTGAGCCAATCCGAAGCGTTCTCCGCTTGAAAGTACCTGCCTGCAAGGCGCACAAGCTTCGGTTCAAGCGTTCAAGAAGTAAAACTGCCTAATTGCATTCTAATATCAAAATTATAATTCTTGTTTCCAATAGCTTCTTGTTCCTAGAAGGCCAGGAGCGCCTAGTAGCGTCCTTGCTCCTAGTAGCGTTTAGCGTTTCAGGAGTGTCAAACATTTCTTCAACAAATTCAAGCAATGAAGTGCTCACGCAGATATTATGTTCGTCCTGCCCAAGGGACAATGTCAGGATGCCCATGATTGTCGCAGATTCAGCTGTGTTCTATCCCTTTCAGCGACAGATCAGGCGCCTTTGAGCCCATGATCTGGATGGATCTGGGGTTCCGGCAACGTTTCTGGGTTTCTGCCTGACTAGCTCATGTTTGAATCAATTAACCCATCAATAAGGTTGGTACATCTATATATGTCATTTATATTTATTCGAACCAATCATGTCTCTCACTTGAGAGAGGAGGGGGTGAACGAAAGGTAGCAGGCAATCACAAGTAACCCTGGTAGAAGTCCATGACGGCGTGAACCGGCGCAGGGGGGATTTGATCCAGGGCCCCCCCCCCCCGACGAACAGAATCATCTCTTACAGGACCAAATTCAATGCACAATCCCAACTCCTGATTGTAATACATTTTTGCTAAAGCAAGGAGAACTCAGGTAGCTCAAGCTACCTTTCGTGAAAATCTCCCAAAGCAATTCTTCAAAGATCAGGCCAAAGGCTTCCACCCTCCCCTAAAACCCTCAGGCCTGGCTCGCCCCGGCACCACCAGCCAAAGAACTCCATAGATTCCCAGGTCAGGTCCACAATCCCCTGAGCGGAGAGAAACCTCACAGCGACCAAGGCCACTTCCGGCAACTCCTCGTCTGAGTCTAAATGCCGCGTGGACCAACTGTGGCAAGCAAGCAAAATCAACGCCCATGAGCTCATCATGGAACGAATCATTGAGATCTTGCCTCATCCGACGAGGTCCGCGATGCGAAGAACGCATCAGAATCCGCTCGGCGAAGGCTGACGACGACTTTACGTGTTTTCAAATGACGGAGCCTTCACGAAGCAGGCAAAATCTCCGTTCACTGGTCCCTGTGAGGATTGGTTCCTGCATGTTGCTAGCTAGCAAATCGGGAATCATTCAAACCTTCGCCGAAGAAGGGCGACGGCTTAACCCTCGTGTTCGACGCCGAAAAATGGTGGCCATTCGCGTCCGATCCTGCATAGTTCTCAAAGACATGCGCGATCATATACGCCACCGTCCGATTGGCAAAGACATTCAAGTCCGTCTCCGCCGACGCCAGGGCTGCGAAGACATCTGGTGTCAGGAGGTCAGGGATCAGGCAAACACAGATCTCTGCATCTGCGATGCCACCTGAGGTGGATAGTGAGGGCGGAAGGGGTGGGTCCTTTTCGGCGGAACCAGTGAAACAATGTGAAACATGGCATGGATTGGCATGGTCATTGGTGGATTGTTTTGTTGGCTTGTGAGTGATGGAACTCGTAAAACAAGACTGGCTAGATACTGGCTAGACAAAGTTGCATTCAATGTAGATCCTGCATCCTATAATAAGTGTAACTTACATCCAAGCCATCCACAGTGATTCTATGAACATCGCCTTCACCTAGGGCCTCTCCGAGAATTTCACAGGGCACCCCCAAGCAGTTGTTCCGTGTTTGAACTCCGGTGGCAACGTGAAACTGCCGAACGTGTTGTCCAGCTCGCTTCGCTGCGAGCTGATGTCATCCCCTCGAGTGGTCCATCTTGCTGATGTCAAGTGGTCCATCATGCACTTTTTGTATGCACCTTGTTACATTGTTGGAGCCTTGACCCTATTGTTTGTTTAGCACAACAAAGCCACCGTAAGAATTAAGGATCATATATGCGGCAAGGGATACACAGTTTTAACATGGGCTTGATTGCAGAAGCGGCCAGACAGACAGGACGACAAATGAAAGAGAAAGAATGAGAAAGAAAGGGTCTGCCTTGGGTCACCCTTTGGTCTGCACCCGAGTCGCCTGATGGAGGAAGGAATAGTCTTAACCAGCCTTGCTCCTGCACTGCACAAACCAGCTTGTCATGCCACGATGGGCTTTTATGCTTCGCCTCATCAAAGGTCCATTCCTTGGGTGACAGCGACCAACGAGCAACAACAAGTCCTTGTCACAACAAAACGATGTCCGAAGGTGTTGAAAGCAAAGCTGAACGGAGAAGAGACTCCTTTTCGACTTCAAGGAATGTCAAGACCTCCCTGGTGCGGTCCCCACGATTCAATAAGTTCCAAATGAGCTCTGGCCAGTCATGTGGTGCAAAGTTCACCTCTGAGGGCAAGGGATATTCGTGGGGATAAGCAGGAACCACGGTGCAGGCCTCCAAGATGCTCAAGGCCGCTGGGGAGCATTGCTCCAGCAACCTTCCAACATCACGGCCTCTGAGAGCGTTTCAGAACGAACATGAACATGTGAACGAACGCTGGTTTTCTTTGGGAGATGCTCAAGGGGCCAAGTCATGCATCCGAAGTACAACCATGATGGTTACATAAAATATTCAAAAGAACTGTTTGATCATCACAACTTTTTAATCCCCTAGATGCTTCAGTGGTGTCCCTTTTCTTTCGGAAAAATGAAGAAAACACAGAAACGAAGGCGAATTGCACGAATTGCCCAAGGAACTGGTGATGTTGGCCTCTTCCAGTACACGGTTCACTCTGGAGAGCTTCTGCAGTCGCTTGAGGAAGAGCGGAACTGCTCGGGGGCAATCGGACATGAAGACCCGCAAGGACAAGGCCTGGCTTCGGCTTCAGGCACCAAACGACCAGAAACACCGGAAGGAAGCGTCTGTTGTGTGCACAGGTCATTCAGGTCATTGTAATGTCAAAAGCAGACAAGGCAAAAAAGGAGCGTCACTCGAGTTCAAGAACGCATCACGTTGAGAGTTCGTTCAACCGGACCCAAAAGCCCACAGAACTGTGAGACCCGTGGAGGGCGGTGTGCGCCGTTTTTCACTGTGCGCCGTTTTTCATGTGTCGTTCCAATCGATGGTCGGTTTGTTCCAGAATCTGAGTCGTATCAAGTCCCAGTCACAGTGGTGTCCGCGCACAAAATGAGATCCTGCAGCTTCATCCTCCGCCCATCAATGCCATACTTCAGGGGCGCTCCCTTGCACTTGGAGGACAAAGCCTGTGAGGAGGTCTGAAGATAGAAAGCATTCCAAGACAACCAAGGTTTTCTCGTGTTTTCTCACACGGAGCCCCACGCGTGTCTGTGGGGATTGTTCCTCAGCTCGGGGACGTTTCTTGGGTTTCGCTGTGCGAGAAGCACCGCAGAAACCGCTCGCGGAACATCGGTAGCAAGGGAGAAGCAATGGTTCAAAAGCACTGAAACCTCCAGGTGTTGATCCGGCTCTTTTTGGATGTCCCGCTCTTTAGATCATTCATGATCATTCTATTTATGCCAGGCCCCCCCCTCTTTTGGGGGCGTGTCTATTTTGGTTGCCACGTCCTTTACGGGGTGTCCATTCCGTCCACCCTGATGGACCATGCCGTCCGGCCAGGTCCGTCTCCGTGACGTTGCTCTGCAGCATCCAGCGCCGTACACGGAGCACGATGGAAGGACTGCCCACTTGAAAGGCGACATGTAAGGGATGACGAGCACCGAACTTCAAGTTCTTGTCCAGTTGAGGATCAGCAGGGACTTGGGAAAGGATGAACTGGATCATATCCTTGGCCAACATTGATTCAACTGCAATCTTTTTGCTAGCAGGCCGCAGGCACTTCAATCCGCGTCAGTGTTTGACGGCTGCTTGGGGGACGGACCCCCAACCCGAAAATCAAGCTCAGGACTCCAGGACCAAAGGGACCCAAACTTGACCGGTACCGTCCTCTGATCCCAAAAAAGGCTCCTCGTGGGCTCCAAAGAGGGCCGCGAACAGGACATCGTAGTGCTCGTGACCGTCTCGGGTGACCGAGTCTGTCAAAGAAGCCTTGCTCGCCAGCAACTCCTGCGTGAACAACCCGTCAAGTGATGTGGTGCGAGTGCATCACAGAACGATCACCAAATTCCTTTGAGGTGAATTAGATTGTTTGGCCAGAAGGAAGAGGAAGTGACCATGAAAACATACCACCTGGGTTGGTTTCCGGCCGGATTGAGACTCGATTCGGGGCCCACCAGGTGGACGGTTATAGCTTTTCGCCGAAAAACCAGCTGTGTGTCCTTCACAACCTCCAGGTGCCCACGCGATGCAGCCAAATGAATGGCCTGACCGGTCCCTTCCACCAGTTGAAGCTGACTCAGCTTTCCTTCACCACCCATGCCATCTTTTTCAGAGGCTAACATTGGGAAAGTGAAGCGAGAGTTGCAAATCTCAGCTGCTTTCGGCGCTTTCTGCAACGTTTTCGTTGCCTTCTCATCATCACGTTTGCTCAAAATCTTGATGACCTCTTGTAGATCACCCTGCAGCGCAGCGAAGTGTAGCTCGTTGCCCTTGCATTGCTTGGTGTTCCATGTGAACTCTATTGCCTCCGCATTCGCCACAACAACCTCTGCATTGAGCAGGGGCTGATAGCTGTCCGCCATGGCTATCCACCCATTTTGCACCTCTTTGGGCCGCACTAACAGTTGCGGTCCTCTTCGGGTGGGTGCCTCCATGGCCGGATGTCCCATTTCCCCAAGAAAAGGACACCCTTTCAAGAGTGGTTGGCACGAAAAATCCGCTGAATCCGATAAATCTTCGTGCGCTGGAAACACCCAAGCCTTGGCTTCATCTTCCGTCTTGGTCTCCTGTGAAGAGAAAGGTCCAGACTAAGGTCCGGCCGTGGGACGTGGGACGCGCTGCGCTGGGACTTGGAGTTGACACGGAATGAAAGAACTCCAGTGTGCACCCTGCAGAACTGCACACATATTATATGCATGTTTCAAATTTCTATACGATTTAAAAAAAGAGAAGAACAACATGTGTCTGTCCGACTCTGTTTGTGGTTTTCTTGCATGCTTGTTGCATCAACTGTACCTCTCGGCGGAGGTGAGCAATCCATACGTCATGTCGCCTGCCAGTCCTCTCTCCCGCCCGCCTCGGCGGGGATCAACCTGCTTTCGCTCTCAGGCAACTGAGGCTGTTCGGAAATGGTGTACATGTTTTTGGCAGGTAGGCAACCGAGGAGATGAGGCAACTGAGGCTGTTTGGAGATGGCTGTTCTCGAGATGTTCTCCATATCCCAAAGGGTCCAATATTTCCCACGATGCGACGACCACAAATGATCAAGCGATAGAGGTTGCTGAGGTCACGCAATCAGGTCACCACGACCATTGGGGAGTTGGCAATGAAGACGTCTTCTGTCGTTCTATTAGGTGCTCAAGCAAATCCGTGCGAGATAGGTTGTCTCGCAGTCTCGCACATAATATATTGAATAATTACAAATATGTTCTATGCAATAGTGACTTCAACAGTAACCCCCAACTAAATAGAAAAGTGACTCCCCTCTAAACTGTCTTGAGCACTCTTTCTATATATCAATTGTTCCATTTGGGCATCTCTACAAGCGAACTAGAGGCCCCGAGGCCGGCCCCGAGGCCCCTGGTGACGTTGTTCTTTCCCATTGAGTCAGAACTGCAGACGTGCTCAATCTCCCAAATCCGAAAACACACACATCTTGCCGGCAGGCAACTCAAAGTTCAGGTGCTTGTTGGAGATACCCAAAGGCGCCAGCACCACCTCAAGAATGTCTTGCAGATGGCAAAGTTTGCGAAAATTGGATCGTTCCTGATAGACACACTGCCACCCACTGTTTGTCAAACACACAGCCATGCGCAGGACGGAAAGAAACAAACCTCTGGACCTTCCTGTACATACAATAGTACAACCCAAGAAACAAACCAATACCATAGGAGGGTGGCCGCCCTGGTCCCGGCCGAAGTTCATGGGCCAAATCAAATAGGCAGCTACACCCATTGCAAGGAATTAGATTGCTTGATCACATCATTGATTTCACCTGAAACCAGGATCCTCCGGGATCCTCGGTCCGAATACACAGGGTACTCCTTTTCCTGGAAGGACTTCTCTTCCACTCAAATGTCAAATGCGTCAAATCTTACCCACTTTTCAAGTAAGCTTTGCCTCTCTCTTCCAAGCCAAGTCTCAGAATTCTTGACCTCAGGATGGCTCCGAATCCCCCGGCAGGGTGGGCCAGGCATCGGGGGCATCGGGCACGGAAGTTTGCTCAAATTTGCGTAGTTCATTGGCTACCCAAGTGGTGAGGTGCTGTGTTCGGTTCGACAAGTCTACATGATTCAACCGCAAGTTGAAGATGTTCAAGGCCCTGGAGTGCTCCTTTCCCCAGATGAAACATCGTGTTCTCCAAACAAATGATCTTGCGGTTCCTGGCGCGGCGAACAAATCCAACACACCGTGGGAAGAAAGATCAACAATGCAACACGCTTTGCCATGAAAAGACGTAGACTTGTTTTGGGTCATTCAAAAAAAACATCATGTCCAGTTTGCACTTGCCTAGTTTATTGAACACGCGATGCCTAGACATGTCCTACTTTTTGAACAAATAAACACCCACACCCAAGGGGCCTGGGCCCCCCTCTGCGTCGTTTCACTCTACCACCCCCTGCTCGGCATCCGGGCATAGCGCCCTGCAGAGATAGCTTCTCCGCCCGTGGGCAGCTCGAAGTTCTGAGTCGTCCCTGCAAGCTCCTGCTCTGTCAACTCTGCAGCGACCGAGTGGGGAAGGTTTATGTATGTTGTATGTCTATGTTTTTTACAGTTTCCTTTTTCTCGTTTTCTAGTAGCGATGGCCTCCACCCTACTAGCGATGGCCTCCAACCTAATTATATACATCTATACTTACTAGCATGCATTCAGTTGCAAAAGCGAGCTGGAAACGCAGATGTCTTTCTCGAAGATGTGACACAGTCAGGTTTGCACGTTCCATGAGAGTGGATGGGAAATTGGCCCCTTGAATGACCATCTCGAAGAAGATGTGACAAAGTCCTTGAAATCATCATAGAAGCGGATGGCATGGCCTCTTGGATGACCATAGCAGTTTCAATACCAAACAGGTGGGAGTATAAAACCCATCGGCGTCCAAAACATTTCAAAAACATCTTTGAACTTTTGGGAAACAAACTCATTTGGGTGTGGACGTGCAATACACTCACCAGCAGTTCCACATGGATCAAGCAATCATCTTCACCTCATCATCTGGATGGGCAGATTGCAGGAAGCCCACGAGTTGCCGCCCGTGACGTCGCTTCCGCCGTCTCCTGGCTCCCAAAGAGCACCTTGAACTTCACACCATCGAAGTCCTCCTCCTGAACCATTGGAAGTGACGTTTAAGCTTTTGGCTGGGGGTAGAAGATCAAAAGAATGGAGCCATCATCGAATGGAGAAAAAGAGCAGTTGGAGCCATCATCTGGGAATGGAGCCATCATCTGCAGTCTGAAGTCTTCTAAAGAGCGGTACTAGGCTTCTTCCGTTCTTCCGTGATCAACCACCGGTACTAGGCAGCGTGCAGGTCGTGTTGACATGGAACCAAAAAGAAGAGATCATCAGCTTCAGCTCTTTCACTGCCGAAAGGATCTCACATTGAAGACCCTTCATCCTTTTCATCCTTCAGCATCCAAAACAGCTGGTTTTCCCCAAACAAAACACGCACGCAACGGACAGCTTTCCCTCTCAGCTCAGTCTACTTCCACCGGTCCATGCTGCCAAGTCCGGTCCGGACTGGTCCCGGCCCCATCTGGGTCGGTCCGGACTGGTCGGTTCCGAAGAACCGAGATGGTTTACGGCGTTTCGGTCCGATGCTTCAGAGTGCAAATCAGCTCAAATCCATGGTGAGTAAGGGGGCCTTTGAATCCGTTGGAATTGATTCTATTCAGCTTGGCCTTCGCCTGTTAGAGACCCTTAAGCTTGTGTCTTCTTCACCGGCTCAGGGTCGATGAGCCCGACACCGAGACAGCGTCGACTTCTATTGTCCCGTTTGGGCTACCAGGGCCTACCAGGGCCTACCTCCGTTTCGGTTCGGTGGTTAGGATGGATTGGGGTCAAACCACCAAACCTGAGGATATGGGGGGTGTAGGGTGTCTACCCTTCCCATTAGCTGAGATCGCAGTGGAGCAGTGGAGCACCACTGCGTCAGCGCACGTCCGTCAGCGCTCCTCCTCTGCGTCGGACTCCGCAGCGACGCTGGTCTTCACCTGACGTCCGACGTGCCGCAGGTCCCGCAGTACGACGGAGGCGCAAGGAGGTGTGTAAAAGCGTGGAAACTGCGTTTGAATGGGGATTGACAACCACCATGAACTGGGATTGACAACCATGGGGATCTATTCAACTTCTTTGATATATTTCTATTTAAACGTGTTGAATCATGAGGATTGACAATCCTGTCACCGAATCCGGTCAAACATGAACCCAACATCACATTGATGTGAATTGATGTGAATTGTGATCAACCCAAGGCAGATATCCCAGCAGCTCTGGAAGGTTCGTAAAATAGCTCAAGAAGACTCTGCCAGAAGACTCTGCCAGAAGAATGCATCTGCTGTGAAACTGTTTGCATTTTGCAACCCTCATGATGTACCTCAGAATTGGATGAAAATCAACCATTTTTCGTTCCCTTGGTCGATGGTTTCCTCTTCGCGTCAATCGACTCCGCTCGAAGCGAAGTCGCCGGAAAGCCCCGCTCTCAGCGCCTCTTCTTCGTCCTCGTCTTCCACGTCCGTCTTTTCCATGGGTGGGTCTTCCTCCTCCTCCGGTGCCTGCAACTTCAGGGGGGAATGTTTTTTCCAGGTGCCTGCAGCTTGATTTGTTTCTTTTCGAAGAACAAGCCATACATGCAAGATCTTTTGACTTTGAAGCTCTCCGTGGTCTGGGACCGCGAGCTATGATACATGCAAGATCATGTAAGTAGAGACGATTGATCGCAGTTTGTCGCAGGCGCTGGGTGCGTATATCAACGGCTGTAGGCAGTATGCAGTATGCATCCCAAGCAATATCTTCCGCACTGTTGGATGTATCCTGAGGAAGCCCAAGTGCCTTCTCATCCACTTGGGGCTTCTCCTTCTCTTCCTGGAAAGTTGGAGGTCTTTATAGGTCTTTCTCCAAAAACATATGCAGGAAGGCAATTGAGTCATTGGCTGAATGCCCCAAACAAATAACACCAACTACTTCTATACCTGTTGCTCTAGATGTGGAACCACCACCGAGCAAGAAGTTGCAGAAAAAGTTTGAGACTTGAAACTGATGAACACCCTGTGAAAGTCTGGGTAGAGTCGTGCTGTTCTGGTTCGTCACAGGGTCTGCCTCCTTCTCCTTCTCCTCTTCGTCTTCTTCCTTGTCACTCTCCGGCGGAGCCGATGCAGTGCCAGATTTCGCCTGCGAAGCGGAAGCCATGCGATGCCAGTCGCCCTGTCGCCCTTGTTGCAAGAAGTCAAAGTCAAAGTCTTAGACTTTGGCATTTCATGATTGACCACACGACCAATCCTTTTCATTGAACAGGAAAGTTCCTGAAGAAGACATCTCTCCATTGAAGTCTGGTTCACCATACCACCTGAAAGCTGAAAACGGCCTCCTCCTTCTTCTCCTCCTCCTCCGAATCAGAGTCCTGTGAGTGTCTAAAACTTTGCGCTCTGTCCATGTATTTTCTGTGATTCCTCTATGCCCGTATAATACGAATCTAACTATCTAACTGACATTCCCCGAAAAAGCCACAGTCTCCCACTGTTGAGCACAAATGAATAGAC